CTTGGTAAAGGATGGTGTAATTCATCTCAAGTAATGAAGCTTCGGTTCCGAGCCACATCAGTTAGTAAATAGTTTCCTCAATCCTTCAATAGGTTCATTTAAGCGATCCGATCTTCAATTATTAGCTGATTAACGTTAAGGGGCTCTTCATGTTTGCTTAAGTGGTCCGCTTTATATTAACTTAAGTGGTCCGATCTCAAATTGTTAACAGGTTAGCATTAAGAGTCGCTTCATATTCGCTTAAGTGATTCAACTTATATTAACTTGAGTGGTCCGGTCCACAATTATTAACTGGTTACTTTTACGAGGCAATTAGTCTGACGTTTGTCATTCATACAAGTATGAACAGATCGAAAAGATAAAAAAGCAGAAGCACAAATATTTAGCAAAAATTTCATTTCATTAAATAAATTTAAGTACAAGTAGGCAGAAGCCATTACAAAAGGTAGCCCTATTCTGCTGGAGGGACTTCTACATCGACCGCCTCCGGGGCCTTCGGAGCTTCCTCGGCAAGCCTATCAGGCCGACCTCCAGATGGCCCCCCGAACTCTGCCTCCAATGAGGAGATGTCCAAAGTGGGGTGCACCTCCTTCAGTCAACCCAATAAGCTTTGGGCACTCCATGAGGCCCAAAAATTGACGAAGTCGTCATACAGGGGATGGTCTTCAAAGTGGTCGATGAAGTTCTGGACTGCCACCTCCCCTGCAAACTTCAACTCCTCCTTCAAAGAGGCAATCTCCTCTCACTGAGCCTCTGCCTTCTGCCTCAACTCCGCCTTCTCTTTGTTGAAGGCCTCCAGAGCCTCGGTGGTGAGTTTGTGGTGCTTATTGGCGTGATCAAGCCGTCGAGTCACAACAGCCACTTGGCACTCCACCTCGTACGACTCATTCTTCAGCCGCTCCACTTCTGCTTTGGAGGTAGTTAGCTGGGCCTCAGCTTCCTTCTTCCCCTCCTCTAGCTGCGTGGCCTTGGCCTGGGCCGTACGCACGGCATCCCCGTAGTGCATCGCCTCCTCGAGGCGCTTGGAGAGATCCTCCCTCTTGGAGTTCAGATCTTTCACCAAGCCCTCAAGCTGGATGCTTGTACTCAGGGCCCGAGCCACGCAGGCGTTATTTGCAGCCACCAAATCCTCAGCTGTGTAGGAGGCAGTGTGGTCCCTCCACTCCTTGGTCCAGTATTTGTTGTGGACCACCGTCATCACAGCTGTTTCTAGAGGAAGAGCCTCCAAAACTTCCCTTATGGGCTCCTCCGGGTTTGTGCCCATAAAGTCGACCTCCTTAGAGGGACGGGGCCTCTTCCTCTTCTGTTGTCCCGACACTTGATCAATTGGCACGGCAGCGAGGGGTGTTGTGGCCGGGGCAGTGGCAGGCTCAGTTGGGGTGGGCCTCTTCTCCGGAATGGCCACCCCGGTAGGAATTGTGGTTTACCTCAGAGCAGGGGGTGGCCTCGCCACAGTTGGGCATTTTGGAGGGGCGGAACTCTTCTTGCCCTTCTTCCGAAGGGGTCCTCCGGTACCTCCTCCTCCGTCGGAGGCTGAAGCCTCTTACTGGCTTCCACCAAATCCTCCATTTACTTTTTGTAGGAGGAAGAGGAGGCCTTTAACGCCCGCGTCTCTGCCATCATCTTCTGGATGGTCTTAAAGTTGGGGCGCACCGGCATCTTCTTATTAAAGTTATCTGCAAAGAGTGAATGAGGAATTAGTACAAGTGTTGAGAGTTCAGAATAAAAAGTAAAGACTCAGTCCAGTTACCTTAGGATACCATCAGATCGTGAGTAATGAAGTGGATGTTCTTTTGGATCAGCCTATGGTAAGACCTCTTCTTTTGAGGCAGCTGATAAATGATGCAGATGGTTTCAAAGTCCTCGGATGACAGCTCGCACCGAGGGAGAGCACCTACAAAGGAAATGTAAATGTTAGGCACAATTCGAACCGAAGAGAAATATAAGGAAAAACAACTACTATACTCACTAAGTGTTGAGTATTTCGGCGGGACCGTAAGAGGCGCTAGGGGGTCCCCCTCCATCATGTCCCATCGCCCTGCAGCCCAGCACTACGAGCTCTTCCATTCTTTGATGGAGCTCGGTAGATCGAGCATGAATGGAGTGTAGGAACCCCATGAAGTGAAGTAATACCATCCCCGGGTCTTATCCCTCCCCCCCTCCCCAGCAGTTACCTTAGGTGTATAAAGGGTCTGGAAGACGAAGAGGGGCATCTCCACCCCTAATGACGCCTTTTTCCACTACATCCAGGAGCCCACCATTTGGCTCCAAGAGTTCGGATTGAGCTGCGTCGGAGCTAGCCCATAAGATCTAAGCACCATCCTAAAGAATGGGTGAACTGGCAGCCTAAGTCCGGCCCTAAGAATCGCCTCGCTAATGGCCACACAACCCGGCCTAGGGTAGCAAGCTCTCTCTTCTGGCCCGGGGAGGATCAAATCTATGCTATCAGGGATCCTCTACTCTGTCCTAAGTCTCCCCAAGTCGGACTCTCTTAATTTCGATGGGTAGTCTGATGCCCCCCAAATGCACAGAAGTATCTGCTGGGCTATCTGGTCGCTTCCATATATTTTCCCCCCTATTATTGCCTCGGCTATTTCTGAGGAGGTCGCCACAATGGGCTCGTCCATCCTCACTAGTTCTAACCCCCTCCTCGAACCAGAACTCCCCTCCGAGGCCATTCTTTCAAAATTTAAAGGCCCTAAAAGGTACTGAAACTTACGAGTTTGAAGGTTTTCCTAGTCGGAAATGGTGTAAGGTCGTCGGAAGTTCAATTTTCTCTCCGGAATTGCTTAGAAAACGCCGAAAATTGACAATGACTTGAGAGCAAAATATATTGTTTGTTTCGCAAGGGTAGAAAGCCTGAGAAAGTCTCAGAGTCCTCCTTTTATAGAAAGACAAATCCGATCTCCACCGTCGAATTCAAATGCGATCAATCTAAACCGTTCATCGCATCTTCAGTCTAGGCCATTGAAATGAAACGCCAGATTTGATCTACGCCCAAGATGTCGCTGTGACATTCACGCTTGCTTAAAACACGTCACCTCGGTTACAACCAACCGTCAATAATAATGAGTAGCCGCAGTAGCCTTTTAGGAGAATGGGCATGACATCCAACTGTCACCTTGGAAACACGCAACAGTTGTCAAATCATTTGACGTTTGAATTGCCTCGGATCGAGCTCCTTACTCAATTTTACAAAGTTTGGACACACCTAACGCTAAGCCCCCTGTGGGTCATCGCCTCGGATGCTGCGTTCCCTCCCATGCTTTACAAAGTTTTAGCCATCTCCCAACGCGTCGGCTTGTGGGTCAGCGCACCGGTGATAGATGAGCTCCTCACTCAACTTTACAAAACTTGGACTCACCTGATGCGAAGCCCCCTGTGGGTCATCGCCTCGGATGCTGCGTTCCCTCCTATGCTTTACAAAGTTTTAACCATCTCCCAACGCGTCAGCCCTGTGGGTCAGCGCACCGATGGCAAATGAGCTCTTCACTCAACTTTACAAAATTTGGACGCACCTGACGCGAAGCCCCTTGTGGGTCATCGGCCCTCGGATGCTGCATTCTCTCTCATGCTTTACAAAGTTTTAGCCATCTCCCAACGCGTCGACCCTGTGGGTCAGCGCACTGGTGGTAGATGAGCTCCTCACTCAACTTTACAAAGTTTGGACGCACCTGATGCGAAGCCCCCTGTGGGTCATCGCCTCGGACGCTGCGTTACCTCCCATGCTTTACAAAGTTTTAGCCATCTCCCAACACGTCGGCCTGTGGGTCAGCGCACCGGTGACAGATGAGCTCCTCACTCAACTTTACAAAGTTTGGACGCACCTGACGCGAAGCCCCCTGTGGGTCATCGCCTCAGATGATGCGTTCCCTCTCATACTTTACAAAGTTTTAACCATCTCCCAACGCGTCGGCCCTGTGGGTCAGCACACCGGTGGCAGATGAGCTCCTCACTCAACTTTACGAAACTTGAATGCACCTAACGCGATGCCCTCGATGGGTCATCTCCTCGGATGTTGCGTTCCCTCCCATGCTTTACAAAGTTTTAGTCATCTCCCAACGCGTCGACCCTGTGGGTTAGCGCACCGGTGACAGGTGAACTCCTCACTCAACTTTACAAAGTTTGGACGCACCTGACGCGAAGTTCCATGTAGGTTATCGCCTCGGACGCTGCGCCTTTTTCCCTTGCACAGTAACGAAACTTTGGCACATCTGCCTAAGATCATAACCACGTGAAAGGACCAATTTTCGAGATCAACAATATCTATTTATATAACATAGGAAATATGAGATATGACCGAAGCTCATGGCCTCGTGAGCGAAGGTTCGTCAAATTCATCCTTGGAAGGAAAATTATGAGATATTCTTTGAATAGGTTGAAAACTCGTGCTATAGACTATAGTCATTCATATCGAGTATTTGTTATGTTAAATCGAGTTGGACACTATAGAAAAATCAAAAATATATAAAACATTTGTTTCCTGTACGTCTAATTTTGTTCAGAATAATATATTTTAAAAGATTTTAGAAAATCTCCAAACTTTATGCACTTTATTCCTTTCGAATTAACAGAATAATAAGAAACTTGAACAAGCAAAGTTAAAGAAAAATATTAATATTAGTACAAATTATTGGAACACCTCATTTCACATGGTTCGACATAGACACTATTTGACAAACTCAATTAAGCAATATTATGCCTTGTGGTAGAGATTTTTAAAGTAATTTTTGCGAAAAAAATATTTTTTTCCCCTGAAAAATATGTAACTAAAAAGTAGAAAAAAAAATTGAATTTACATTTAAAATTATCTTGTTGAAAGAATGTATGGTTTAAAACGAGTTTAAAGAAAAGTGATTTTTGAAAAATTGAACTCAAACAACAGCTGAATAAGAGAGAAAAATAGACAGAAATTTCATATTTCCCCTAGTCATAGTGCCAATCTAACATGCTAAATACTGATTCAGCTACTAAACAAAAGAAAACAGTGAACAAACAAATAAATAAAACATTTGTGTCAACATAAACCAAACTGTTCAATTCAAACTCAAAAGTCGAGCGATATAAAGAATCCAGAGACAGACCAACTCCATTACACAGTGGAAAAGTAAAACTAAGTACTTCTCTCCACGTTTTTCTGAAAGTTTATATTAAGAACACCCAATGTGTATAACCCATTCTAACTCCTAATTTAAGAAGAGAGTGACTAACCAATCTAAAAAGTTATTTAAACAGGTGTTTGGTTAAACTGAAAACCTCTGTATGAGCTAATTGCAGGAAAACAAAGGGTCTACTACCTTTTATCTAAAAGTTCCAGGCCCAGTCCCATTATATGGCATATCAGAACATTCAGTTAGAGGCCCCTTCACTCGGTTTGGGTTGAGTGACATGTTCAAATGCAGCAGCCCACTCACGTTGTCGAGATTCAGCTACACGTTTGTTGTCAACCCGGGCAGTCCACGTCTCTTCAGGAGCATTTGTGCAAATCCAGCTGACAGCACTTGGTGGCTTCTCGAAATCAAACTTCAAAGCCTCAGACTTCTTGCGCTTTGAGCTGGATTTCTTTTGTTTTTTGCTCCCGGGACTCTTAGAATGCTGCACAAACAGGTTGATACAATCAATGTTAAGTGTCTAGAAAGTTACACTCGACCCCAATCAAGAAATTTATTTTTACTTACCGTAGCTTCTGCATCATTTGGCCTTTTCGTTTTCTTACTTCCTGTTTCCAGAAAGTTCATCACTTCATTCTTTGAACGGAATTTCTTTCCGGCAGGATTCCTGTAATACTGCAGAATGCAGAAAATATCACGTTTAAAGCAAGATTTGATTCTGATTAATTTTTAATGCAAACGAAACAGTGCCACCCTAATTAAGAAAAACATAAACTATTCCCAAGTGACTGATAATCATTGAAAGCTGATTATATAAAAGAAACTCCCAAGTACAAGAAAACATGTACATAATATAGTCATTATGTGCAAGGAACGCTCAAGAAATTGAATTTAACTATTCAATAATATAATTGAACCTTATACTGCATGAGAAATCCATTGACTATTTTTCCCTTTAAATATGCATATATACAGTTCACAAGGCAGTAAGAAGATGCAGATATTAAATGTTGCTCTTTGTTTTCATTGTTTACCAAAACAAAATCACCTTATTTTTGCAATCTCACCATTTATACCTATTCATTAGAAAGTGGCATGGCAATTGAAAAACTATTGTGTCCTTCAAGTACAATGACGCATTTCTAGCCCCGTGAAAGATCTTCTGAGCCCGCAATCAACAAGACCAAGAAAAAGCAGCAGAGACAAGAAAAAATGGTAAAACAGGGTAGGCATGATATCACCTCTAATAATTCTGAGTCCCTAGAATAAAGAGATAAAAATACAAAAGATTAAAGAGATAGAGGGAGGACGATCCAATGGCAGGTGCAGCGAAATTCTCAAAACACACACACACACGCATAAAAAATAAATAAATAAATAAATAAATCCTAAATGTGCTTACAACAATTAATTTATCTCATATTGTATCAATGCAAAACCCGAACATTTACAAAACCACTATGAGCATCTTCAGCACAAGATACAGAAGAAACACAGAAAACATCACATGATCAATCAAATTACGAACTTTCTGCACCAGTTGGACTGATTTGCAAGAAAATCAATCATAATGAGCATATAACCATATGATAAAGAAAAATCTCAAAGCCATGTCATAAAACTAAGTGTTATAGTTCCCAAAAATTGTCTAATGAAAAAACTACAGACAATTTGCTGGAAAAAGAAAAAGGATACTTCCAACATAATAATCTCCACCATATGAAATAGGAAAAAGAAATAAGCAATTGAAAAGAAGGGGTGAGGGATTTTTCAACCTCGTCAAATGTCCAACAACTCTTTACATATCTACGTTCAGCTAAATGGATCCCCTTCTTCTATCAACTAGATCCAGGGTCATAAACAAAGACTTGAATCGTCTTCAGTTAACTCTATGAACTTTTAGATTCAAATGTTTCTCTAGGTTCTGTTAAGACTAGTTTTACCAATTTTTCTAGCTCATGCAAATAGTATGTGGACAACATTTATCACTCTGAATCAACGTTACTGGAGAAAATCATCAATCTAATGTCACCATGTGTCCGGTACATTACCATATCAAAATATGAGCCATAAGTACTTGTATATCTGTACAGAAAAGTGTTCTTCAGAGAAGTAAATGGGTTTACAAGTCAAACTACCATAAATATGAGCCATAAGTACTTGTGTATCTGTACAAAAAGGTGTTCTTAGGAGAAGTAAATGGATTTACAAGTCAAACTACCATAGGGTGGTGAATACATGGGCTGTACAGAAATCCCATAAAATATGTATACACACTCAGTTACAAAGTGAAGATTTATCAAATGATGTTATTGTAGAATGGTTGTCCAAGTTAGAAACCGCAAAATTTTATTTAAAAAATGGTTAACTCTCAGATGGAGCCCAGGTCACACGAAGCGAACCTAAATTTATTTAGTCATACAAGTGTATACCGGGCTTAGCAATTACCCTGATCAGATTAGAGGCCAAATACTGTTCCAATTAGAACACACAGTAAATCATCATTTCAAATAGATTAATTGAATAGCGTCTTTTTTGAAAAGAAGAATTTATTTCAGGAAAAATAACACTGAAAGCTTTCTCCCCAAAAAAGGGATAAAATGGAAATGACTCCTTTATTGTCATCTCTACTATTGCAGGCAACTCTATTGTCGCTGATGCCTCTATTATCACCAGTGTCGTCATTGGTAAAGAATCAAACTCGGAGTTGATAGTATTAAATTTCACCAGGGATAGCTTGCTTCTTCACAAGCTTATCCCCCACGAAGAAACCGAACCTGGAGCTCTAGCACTTCTCATTCTTTCTATTCCATCCCATTCCATTTTGGGATAGGCGGCAAATAATAATCTAAGAAGTAGTCACCGTCTGACCAATTGACTGGGACACCAAACCACCCGTGCCGGCCCATTTTGTCTCACCCTAAATGGAATGGGTTTCTTAGTTACATTGTGCCCCGACCCAAGTCCGTTTGCAGCGCGATGTGAAGATAGGATTTGGGTTAGGGTTTTCTATGTTTCAAAATCAAAAATGACATTGACCCGAAAAAGTTAAAGAGTCAGAGTGGAAAGTTTGAACCAGGTCAAACCGGGATCAAAAGTTTATATTAAATGAATAAATAAACATATTTATAGCACAGAGAAATTTGACAAAAATAAGATAATTTTTCTAATTAATTAATATACAGACAAAAATACTCAATATCACGGTTCTACATTTAATTTTCATTATGTCCAATTCTAATATTAATAGAAAATAGGCAACAATAGTCATCTATGAATCAACTACACGTAGTGAGAACAATCAATAGCTGGTAATAAATTCACGGATAAAGCAAAGATGCAGACACAATGCATAGATAACCTAAGGATCTTTCCACGATAAGCGAATTTCAGCAACCAAACTAAATACAAATATGTGTGCATAACACATATAAAATGACAGTGACATGTATGCCACCATATACAAATATATATGTAAACAAATAAATTCAATGTATTTACAATTTTAGGCTACAGAGTTACAAGATGCATTTAGTGTGTTTCTTATGCACAAAATCAAAAATCGATGATGAACGGCACTTTTGTGCTCATTTTAGTTCAAGGTAGGCATCAAGGAACAAAACATACCATTAATCGTTTCGAGTGGTTTAGAACAAGGACGTGTCTAGATTTTGATGATCAAGGAAATCAAATAGTCTTTTCCACCAACACATTCTATCTAGACCCTGGAACCTAATTGTTTTCACATAAACTTATTGAATTTACGTACTTCTTTTGCACTTGAATTAGATTGGCAGCTATTCAAAATTTAAAGAGAACTCATAAATTTTGAAGGAACGTTGTACATCATGCCATAAATGAACGTTGCAAAAACATCTATCAAGTAAACTAAAGAGACTTACAGTAACAAGCATGGAAAGAAAAGAAAAGAAGAAAAAAAAAATCATGCATAAAACAATGTTAACAAATACACATAAGCCTCTCAATTAATACTCAATTCACGTAGAAATGGATTTTCACTTTGTTTGTCAAAAGGTTGCTCGCAAGCAGTTTAAAATGAAGTTTAGGTCATTTTCAAATATTGAAATGCAATAATGTCCCTAAATAAATAGCATTAGAATTTAATAAAACTAAGAATGTTTGAATGATATCAAATTCACTGGATATATAAAAAAGAAATAATAATTATATTTTCTAAAATGTTCTCTCTCAACCTCCGCTGGCACTCAGAATTCCCAAGTTTTACTTATCAAAGAACATACATAAACTTATTCCAGAAATTACAGAGGCGAAGAAAACTCTCACAAGACACTCAGAGAGAAAACCCACAGAAAACCCTAAAAAACGCACAAAAGAAGTCAAATGTATTAGCATGAAATACAACACCAATTGATTAAAAACAGAAACACATAATCGAACAATTCTAATAATATCTGTGCGTGGGTGTATATGTGTGTGAATTAGAGAACCAGAGATACCCGATCGATGGTTCCAGCGGTGGCTCCAGAGGAACGGACCCTCAAATCTATCGTCCAGGTATCAGGCAACCAGCTCGGCCTTTTTGCCATCTCATCTAGGTTTCTCTTTATGGACGGCCTAGTCGTCCCAGCCGAGCCATCAGCAGGGGGAGCCACCGAAATCGGCTCCACAGCAATGCCGGGGCCCGATCCTTGCTCCTCCTCGGACATTGGTTGATGCTGCTGGTTTGGCGGCGTCTCCGGTTCATCCTCGTTCTGGTCTGCGTCAATGAAAGAGCCGGATTCTAGCAACGGGTCGGGCAGAATTACGTCGCCTGTATCATTATTAGGGTCAACCAAAGTCGGGCTCGTGGCCGGCTCCTGGGGTGGAACTGGAGATGGGCTTGCGTTTTCAGACATGATAACGAGTATGAGGAAAACAAACCTGTGTTACTGCCGTTTGAATAAATGAAAACTATAAAGTGAATGTTGGTACATCGTATTAGTCATGTCATGTATCTATCTTGGAAGGATGAGTTCGACCACCATATTCTAGATGACCTAAATAAATGAGTTCGACCATTTATCTCAGTCGAACTCATCCAACGAGTTGAACTAATTGAACTTTTAACAAGGGTACTTTACTTTAATTAAGCAGCGATCATTCAATAGTACATGACTTATTCACTAATGAGAAGAAAGATAAAGTAGATCCACCAATCAAGAAACGACAAGTAGCGAATAGATCGAGGTTGACCAATGTAGTTTGGAATGACTAAGATAAAGTAGATCCATCAAACAAAAACTTACAAGTAGTACACAAATCGAGGTTGACCACTGTAGTTAGAAATGATTAAAGTCACTAGTATCATTTTCATCTATGTAAGGGAGCCATTTCTCATGAAAATTTAAGATCAAATTCTCTCTTATTAATACACTTTAAGTTTGTATACCTTCTTTCGAGTTTGAATTAGTCCAAATTCCAAGATCACCACTTCCTCAGCATTTTGTAATTTCTTCTAAATTGAGCCGAAAGGTGCCACATTACTTTTTGATCCCAACAATAAGATTGCATTGTTGGTCCCAATCATATTATGCTAGTATCATCTTAGTCTATAATCTTTAAAGATATACAATTTAATCCTCAATGTTTTATAATTGCACAATAAATCTCCAAGGAGTAATCTAAGGTTATGTTGATTTACCACAATTCTCTGTTATATCTAAAACTCTGAAGTTAAATTTTGCCTTCCAACTTGGGGTTAGTGCTCATAAAATTAAAGTGAGATGTATTAGGATTGCTCTTATTAGGGATGATTTTCCAATTACATGGAAAGTTTAGAATCTAACTTGTTTAGTTTCAGAGATTTAGGGCCAACTTGTTAATATGATAATAGGTTGGGGATCAAATATGAAATTTTTCCAAATTCTTTTTTTCTAATTAAATTGTATTTTTCAATCAATTCGAACAAAATTTTTATAAAAAGGGATTAGACTTAGTTATTACAGCTTTGCAGTATGAAGTAAATGTGTTGTTTTTCAAATATGAAAACTAGTTACAAGTATGAGAGTCTATTTTATCATCATACGTATCGTTCAAAGGAAATTAGGTTAAGTATAGATATGTATAGTTATTTTTTTTTTCTTGGAACAACGAATTTTACATTTTGAACAACTTAGATCCCACAAATATGTATATATTGATATATCAGTAACACTTAATAGAATTTGCACATTAATAATATAGTGAGATGCACATGCAAAACACGTGCAATACTTATGGTTAGCATTTAATAAAAAAAAATGTTCAAACCGCTATAAAAAATGGTAAATCTTCGTTCCTACTAGAAATTGGTTGAGCACTCCACAAGTTTATACCAGTTTGATTGGTCGGCTTTTTTCAGAAAAGAATTACTTTAAGGAATAACAACGAAAGATTTTCTCAAAAAACAATGAAGGTTCACCAGTTAAGGATAAATTAAAGAAATGGTTCCTTAAATTCTTATGAATGCTTAGCGAAAACATAAAATCAACTACAATTTACAGGATATGCGATTCCATTAAAGCAACCTAAAATGACGATTAATAGACCTAATGTGGTTGCAAAATATTTGATTTTATTTTATATTTATGTAGGTATTGTGGGATATAATACAATTTCAATTCATATATCAAACCACTTGAAAACAAAAACAATATCTCAATTACAAATCAAAAAGTTTGATATACCATCAAGCTCATAAGATGCATTATACAATTTTTTCAATAACCATGATATATCCTCTTCCATGAAAATAATCGCCCTAACTATTTGCTCACATCAAATTTATGTAGAACATTACTATAGCATTCTAACATTAGCTAACTGTCAGAATTTTATGACCATATTCCTTAGTCCAAAACAAGAGAGATATTAATCAAGTTTTCGCATTCTAAAGTTTTACAACTTCAAGGGTCCAAAGGATGTTTTGCTTCAAGAATTCAAATATTTATCCAAGTAAACATGTAGCGTATTTTCATTTTTCAGTAAAAAAGTTACTCAATTTTTTATTTTTTATTTTTTTTTAACAAAAAGCAAGCCTAAGTGTCCTTGCGCTCTCTTGAAATCTCGGTTAATTCAACAGGAGCCATTCTTTCAACTCAAGCCCAATATTGACGGTTCGCTTTAAGAATGCTCAAACTTGTAGTTGGTATTCTTAATCTAAATGCATATGGACGAGCCTTTGATTCTAAGAGCATGTTTAGTAAAGATTTTAATCCAATTAACATCAATTTTTTTTACCGTTATTTCACTATTTCAGCTGTCATTTTTGAATTCTTCTATACGGGTAGGACCCAATTTATCTCTAACAGTCAAAAACTCAATTAACAAAATCCCTATCAAACAAGCACTAAATCAACCATGAACCAGACCAAAAATTAATATGATTAGAGGCCGAAATAGATCTGATCTGAAAACATGGTAAACCTACATTTCGACCGGATCTAATTGGTTGGCTTCTATTAAAATGAGGAATTTATTTAAGGAAAAACAATGATACTTTCTGTTGACACATAAAAATTCAGCCCAAATCGAACGGTCCAAGGAGTGAAATCCAATTGGAGGATCCCCAAATCAAATAGTTCAAAGAACGAAGCCCAATCAAACTAATCAAGATAAAGGCCCAAATAGGGATGCCCAAGAACGCGGTAACGCCATCGCCCAAGTTTGCAAGTCGCCCAGAATCTAAGCGAACGGAGCGCCATACAGTCTCCCAAAACTGTTACTTTATTATCGCCCAAACTTTCAAGTCGCCAAAGGTCTTAACAAACATAAAGCGTTGTGGTTATCAAGACGTGCCGTTATCAAAGCAGTTATCAAAGCGGCCCTATCACGTTCCACGATTCAAGGAACTCAATCGAAAGCAGTTGAACGATGAAGAGTAATGGCAACAGTTAAAAAAGGTATTTTTCCTGACAAGTTGGCTATTATGAGGAAAGTGGGCAGTTATAGGACGATCAAGAGGTTTTTAGGCGGTTGATCACAAAGAGATCGTCTGTGAAGTATAAAAGGGAGAAAAAACATAGAGCAAAGGATTGAATCAAAAACTCTCGAACAGAGAACATGTAATTTTCATTTCCTTAGCTTAGATTTAAACATTTTTCTTTCAGTAACTCGTGTGCTTGCGCCCCTTGGAGGCACATTGTTTTTAATTTCCAATTGTAAAGTCATAAACAATAAAAAAACACCCCTTTTTGGGACTTTGTCTCAAGAGGTTTGTCCCTTACACAATCGTCTGATCCTTTTTAATTGTTAGCGACTAACCCGCGCGAAACAATTTGGCACGCCCAGTGGGACGGTGGTGTTAGGTGTTGAAAGTACAAAAGGTGAAACAATATGCCTCCGAAATCCGATAAGGAAGCAGCAAGTCAGGGAGGAATCCAGTATGTGATCAAGCGATATGAGGAGCAGCATGCCTCTCCACGAACAGATGGACAGAATCAGAGCAGTAACAGTCGTTACGAACCAATGACGGAGTTGAGTCCTCGAACCATGCGTGCATTACTTGGAGAACTCACGCAAGACATCGTTGAACAGGTAAATCTTCGAAGTATTTATAATATGGAAAGATTTACGCAAAATAGGAATGTACACTATGATAACATAGCCAAACAACTAAAGACGTTGAACGAAACAATGAATAAGTTAGTAGGCCAAATATGTCAACCGGCTATACCTTTTACAAACCACTTTCAAACTAGGACAATTGTGGGACATAATCCCTCGGTCCTAAATTCGAATCAAGGGGTAGAACCGCTTTCTGGTCCCTCTACTTCAAACCAAGGGGGTACTACAGTGCCAAATCAGAACAAAGTGGTTTGCCTAACTTGGGGGGTAATCCAAACGTGAGAGATAATGTCCTAAACAATGGACAGAATATTTCACGTGTTAATGAGGGGATAGATGTTCAGGCTAATGGTAATGGCCCTAATCATGGTAATTTTGTTGCCAGTCAAGGACCAAACATCAGGCCTCATGCAAATCAACTGGTTAACCAACCTGTAGGAATTCCATATGACCCCAACGTCATGTTGAGGAACCAGATTATGAAAATCGTACAGGATCAGATGGCTTTTGGGGTGCGTCCCGTCATTAGGCCGACGTACACAAAGCCATATCCTGATTGGGTAGACCAAGCATATCCATGGCCTAGAGGGTACAAAGTGCCAGAATTCTCACTATTTACCGATTTAGGAAAGGTGTCTACTCTAGAACACATGGGGCGATTCACATTGCAAAGTGGTGATGTAACCGATTACCATAAAATGAGGTTTTTTCCTAGTTCGTTAACAGGAGTAGCTTTCTCCTGGTTCATCAACTTGCCAGCAAACTCTGTTCAAACATGGCAACAATTGGAACAGTTGTTTCACTCTCAGTTTTATAAAATTGAGTTTGAAGTTACTTTGGCTGATTTGGCGAATCTACGTCAAATGCCAAACGAATTGGCAGAAAGTTTTCTCCAAAGGTTCAAGACAGCAAGAAGCAAGTATTTTGTACCTCTGCCTGAAAAGGAATTTGTCAAAATCGATCAGGGCTGCTTGAGCTTTGATTTAAAAAAGAAGTTCCAGGACAAGGAATTTCCTGACCTTTTTCAGTTGAGTGCGAATGTGATTAGGTATGAGCGACTGATAAGAGAGGAAGAACAAATGAAAAATTCTAGTAAAGGGACTTATTACAAAGACCCAAATTTTGACGTTCATACCATCGACGACGAGTCATACGATCAGGCCGGAATGTGTTTGGCCGAATTAGTCAAAGGAGATACATATACTTGTCCTATAATGGCTAAGCCCAGACCATCGGGCAAAGATAAGCCCATAAAAGATGGAAACATAAAGGCTAGAACGTTCTCGTTCGATGTAACCAAAGCTGATCTTATATTTGATAAATTATATAGGGATAAACAGATAAAATTGAGCGATAAGCACAAATTGCCAAACCCTGAACAAATTAAGGGTAAAAAATATTGTAAGTGGCATAATGCATGGTCACATTTGACTAACAATTGCTTGGTTTTCTGCCATGTATTGTAGGATGCCATTGAATA